TATTTTTTTTTTTTTTTAAATTTTTTTTATTATTTATGATTTTTATTTTTTTATTTTTTTTTTTTTCTTTTTTTTGATGACCTAAATGTAACAGTTTTCAGCTTCCATGAAAACTATAACTGTGAAAGTATTACTTACAGTGCCCACTCTACAGAACCCCTGCCCCTACAGCGATTTTTTTACTGCTACTCTCAACCCATGATTTTATTTATTACTGTACCAGAGAAACATGATTTTATCTGCCACAAAATTAGTTAACAACAAAAAATATATGTTAACAGCACAAACATATATTTGATAATTATAAGAATAACATTATTAACATTACATTGGTCAAGTTAATAATTCTTCTCATGTTTTAACATTGTTTAGCCAAAACAAAAGTAAGTTACCTAGTTGTTTTTGCTTCATTCTCGAGAACAAACATAACACATATTCTTGGCTTGCCGTTGGCTGGAATCGAACTCAAGACCACCAACTTGAGGTTTGGTCAGTTTGTACCATTCGACCACCCAGTCACCCCGATAACGAGCCACCCTTATCGATTGATATTGTAAAACAGGAAGAATATAGACGTCACGTGACTTGCCGACTGCGTATAACTCTCAGGGTTATACGCAGTCGGCTGCGCATAACCACTTCGTATGCTGAATCTTGATGATTTGAAACTGCACTGCACTTCATCTCCTTGTAATAAACTCATCTTTTTGGCTACAATTCAGATTTTCAAAAAATAGCAAAACAGTAGTAAGATTGAGAATATATTTAAAACCATTGATATTTTACCACAACTTTTCTAATAATAGATTTAATCTCTCTCTTGTGACCAGCTTTGGGAGTTGTTGTGCAACCTTTTCAAGAGCTGGGAAGTGCGTGAAATTTTACTGATTTAGTTGAGTAAGGGATATCTCCAGCTTAAATTCTAAAACACTTGCTTATTTCAGCAGGTAAAATTTGAACACGTCTTTGCAATTTTAAATATAATTTATTAAGGTGATCTGTGATGTCAGTTAGAAATACTAGCCTTACTATAGACACGCATTTCCATATAATTAAACAAATCTTCCTTTGCTTTGGTCCTGAGAAACAGTTTCACTTCTTCAATTAGATCCCAGAATCTTGCCAGCTTTCCCTTTGCTCCAACAACAAATATCAGTATGAAGAAAAAATTCTCATTAATTTCCTTCATATTCTTCTAACAAAGTCTTAAACTGCTGGTGATTTAATGGGTTAGAAAGAATGAAATTAACAATTTTGACCACTCACACTATCCATAACATTTTGCAGTGTATCATCTTTCAGCTTCTTAGCTAATATCCAGCCAAAGTTAAAAGATGTTTTAGTAGCAGTTGCTTGACCTCAAATTTAGACAAAAAACATTTCGCTAGCCTTTCAGATTCTTTATTTAAAGAAATAACTTTGTTGCCTCTTAACTTTGCTCCAATCGGATAATCTTTCTCAAAATCTGCATGCACTGACTTGTGGTGTCTCTGCAGGTTGGTTTTTTTAATAACAGACAGACAATTCTGGCAAATCAAATACACTGGCTTTTCATTAAACAATGAAAACAAAAAATTCTCTTCCCAAGAAGCTTTAAAAATTCAGGTCTCTTCTGTAACTTTTCGTTTTTTTATTAGCCATTTTGGCTCTATCTTTTTAGAAATAAAAATGCTTTCTTAAATTGTTTTTACTGTCTCTCAGAATTTCTCCACAGCTTGTTATCCTACTTTCTGCTCCCATAATTGATAAAAATTGAAATGGTTCGCATTCCCTCCAGTCATTTGCAACACCTTTAGTAGCCCAAATCTAACCTTTTTAACTCCTGTCTCATTATCATCCTTTAAAAGGCAGTAATTTTAAAACATGGGGCTCATATCTAATTCATTTAAACCAGTCACTTCGTTGTGCATGGACTAATTTTTACTATGACCAGCTAGCTACAAATCAAGTTACCGTACTTACATTTCCAAATTAATCTTTCACAATGCCGTTAGTAATTAAACCTGTACAAAACGACACCCCACCCCCTTTTTTATTTTTAGGTCAGATAAGCAGCCGCAAAGAGAAGTTTGTATCTGATTTCATGTCGCCCCATGTTCCCACATTGTTGATCTGCTGCAGGGCTTAACATAAACTACTGCCATCTGTCAAATGTTACTCTCCTTTTGCCAAACCCCTTTTTTTTTCGAATGCCACCACTTCTTCGGTGCTCTCATGGGATTTCCCACCAATACATATTTAGAACAAATTAATTTTAATTTTATATCGAAATATTAACAACACACTAAAAACAACTGATTCTTGGGTTTTTTCCGATAAATGTGATTGTGGTATTATTCTTTGATCATGATTTTTTTTTCCATAACTTTCAAACACATTAGAAGTATTTATCTGCTATATATTATACGCCTACCCTACTCCCTTTCACGCTAATGTATGTCATAGCGAGAATCGCCTATTGCGCCAAAACTCTTACGTTTCTTTAAATTTTGGCGCAATCTGCGATTCTCGCTATGACATACATTAGCGTGAAAACCTACCCTACTCCCTTTCACGCTAATGTATGTCATAGCGAGAATCGCCTATTGCGCCAAAACTCTTACGTTTCTTTAAATTTTGGCGCAATCTGCGATTCTCGCTATGACATACATTAGCGTGAAAGGGAGTAGGGTAGGCGTATAATATATAGCAGATAAATACTTTAAAAAAGTTTATGATTTAAGAAACGGAAATATTACATTTTTTAAGTTATGAATTTGGATGAGTTTTTGCAATAGCAGTTAGAAATTATCACAAAGGAGTACCATTATTATCCCGATTACATCGGTTCATTTTTTCTAGTTCATCAGAATCAGCCTCTGCATCTGAAATCATAAAATAATTGTCTTAATTGTATTCATAGTAATATTTTCAACCTTCATTAGATCGATCGCCAGATGGGTCAGGTCAAGATTTCATGTTTGTAAACAGAAATAAAACAGATAATCAAAACAACCGCTTTAAACACTTTGTTCTATATTTACATCTTGCTGAATGAAAGAAAATCCGCATGTTTATCAGAGGGAAATCATTCTAGATTTGATTAAAAGTAACTAAAAACCAATAGCTAAGAAAAGAACCGAAATAAACAGATTTTTTTAATGCATCGACGAAACCTCATTTAAAATTGACGATGAGTTGATCCGGGGTAGAAAGAGTTAATATGTAAACTCCACAAGTATACAAAGGGGAAAGAGTCCTACAAAGAAACTCAAAGTGGTGTGGATTGCATACATTGACTGAAAAAAAGTGATTTCAGGGGTGGGTTTCCCACTTCACAACTCCCTTCTAAAGGCCACTGCCTACACTTGATCTATTGGCACACCCATGTCCATGATTTCAATGAATAATAAGTTATAACATTGAGTGAGTGAAGGTGTCGTATGCACCACCTTAGTGCCCCCCAATAAGCCTTTCTTATACACTTGTTACGCACTGGCATCTATTGTGAGAAATTAATCTCTTGTTTTAAGTTATGGCTCGTTCAAACCTTGCCTAACAAAGGACGATACCATAGATATGGTGTATAATGTATAATTATTATTAAAGCGTAACTTAAATTGTTCTATTGATACAATTTGTTTGTGTCTCATTAATCTATTTTAAAGCTTTATCGCAGTCCAACACTTTTTATAATTAGTTAACCTATCCTGAAACTATTCTTGTCTCAGTACTAGGTCGCATCAGCACGATCACACGAAAAGAGGCTTTCAAAGCTTGTCAAAACAGCAATGAAGATCGTACCAAACTATTACTAACCTACCACCCTCACAATTTAACTGCCAAAAAAATATTCCTAAAAAATCGTAGCATACTTCTTGCTGACCCCGTTACCAACAGGGTTTTCTGATTCCCTCCATCTTTAGATGGGACAGAAATCTAGGTGATCTTCTGGTTCATAGTCGCCTTCGATCTGAACTGTCTTCTGTTGGTACTAAACCATGTTTAAGAAGCAGTTGCAGGACTTGTCCCTTTACACTCCAAACTGAAACCATTAGCCTCCCTAAAGGTACCTTTACCATTAAAGAGGGTTTCACCTGTGTCAGCCGTAATGTAATATATGCGATTGTGTGCCCTAGATGCCAATCTAGTTACATAGGTGAAACTGGGAGAAGATTGGCTGATAGGTTTACTGAACATGTAATTTCAACAGAAAAGAACATAAAGGTACATCGGATGTAACCATTACGGCACTGATTTCATGCAGTAACACACCAGAGAGGGTTAAAATGGAAAATAAATTTATTCAGCTGTTTGGCACCATATCTCCATATGGTATTAATCAAATAATATCCTACTGATGTTTCTCTGTTTCCCTGTATTTTATCTATTTTCTTATTGCTGTGTGTTTGTGTATCCCTGGATATTCTGGTCCATTATTATTGTGGACCTCATTTTTCACAGTGTCAGTATTTATATTCTCTCGCTTCCTGTGTTCCCACTTCCGGCGACACAGTTGTTTACTGTGCTCTGTTCTTTATGATATCTTCATTTCTACTGTTAGCTGAAGATGGCTTTACCGTCCTTAATTTTTGTCCTGTTCTCTAATTCAAGCTTCCACATAACTCGTTTTGCTATTTCACTCATTTACTAGGCTTGAATGCAGTGCTTTAACCTATATTTAAAACTTAAAAAGCATGCTGACGACAAAGTGTGATATTAAATGGATGAAGTAGGCTAAATTTAGCCTGCTATTTCTATGGCATCATTTTGACTTGTTTACAACAGAGTGCTTAAGTTTTTGAGAAGTTCTAATCATTTTTAGGAGGCTATATAAAGTGTAACCAATCTGATCTTAAGAATTCTTTTCAGTCAGTTTTAAATATTTATTTTAATTCACTTTGTACTTAGTCTTTAGAAAAATGTGTTGAATTACACATAATACATAATTTACAAGAAGACATTGCTTCATTCTACACAGGTAAAATTATTTCAAGAAATTCAGAGAACCTTGTTTCAGGATGGCAGATAGTGATGATGAATTTGAGAGGAAAAAAGGCAGAGATAAATTCAGGAGTGAGCGCAATGATTATGATCGTAGAAGTGATGGCAGGCGCAGAGAAAACTGGGATGACAGGTAACATATAATTCATCCTACTTCAAGCAATTGATATTTTCTTCTTTTATTTTCCTGGTTATGGCTGAGGATCAAATGGGGATGGTCAGTGGATGAATCTGATATGTTCCTGATTTGCAACTCAAACTCCCATCAGTTGTTTTTGTTTCACATTATCCCTTCCTCAACTAATATTTATTGGGACATTTTTCTTAACTTTTCAATTTCTCCTCCACCTACTTTTCTTCCCTAGAGTAATATAACATGCCATGGTTTTATAATTATATTTTAATTGTTACAAAATATGAAGATCATTTATAGCAGACTAACTGATGTTTTTGAATAGAAGGAATAATTTGTTTTGTTTCTACTGGAAGATAGAGAAATTTCATTGCCGTTTTCTTTTCACTTTTAGACGACCTGCTGTGAGAGGAGGACAGTAAGTATTGTTTTGTTAGCTTAAATTAGAAGATAATGAATTCATTCATTGACATTAGATCATGTAGTGTCTGAAAACAAATGTTTTTTAAAATGACTAACTATTCTTTTTCATGTGTCTTTTTTTTTGTATTTACGATGTGTAATTTAGTCTAAGGGGCCCTATGTGTCACTTTGAAAACACTTATTTATTTATTTTTTTTTTAAATTTATTTATTTATTTTTTTTACAAATTCAGAATAAATCATTTAAAAAAAAAACTGAAAGCACAAATTGTCGCAAAAGAAGTTTCATGTTAAAATACTTATTGAAATTTAACAATTTTAATAGAGGATGCCCATTTCTGATTACATTTTCAGTCTTCTCTGATATATAATAAAAGTGCCTAATATGTTTTTATTATTGTTATTCTATGTAACAGTTTTTAAAGTTAAATGTTGATCAAATTTTAGAAATGACGCAAAACAACTCATTTCTCAGACAAATAACTATAGAAGATACCACTGGTCTGTGATAAATTGGTCTCAAGCAGTGTGCAATTTTATACTGGACGCTAAGCTAGTATTGGAGTACCTCTTAATTAGTAAAATATTATCTTTAAAAATACATATCACAACTTAAATGGACACTTTTAAGTGAAAAGTCTTAATTTCGCTCTCTATCTAATTTTGTATTAATTACAGTAAGATGTCAATAATCCAGACTAATTGTGGGTTGAGCCTAACTGATTATCCTAATTTTAAATATTTAATAGACATTGGTTATTTGTTGCAGAACCTAGTTAATGTCTTATTCTTATATTTGGTTTTGTTTAGTTTTGTCCAAGTCTTTTGCAAAGAAAGATTTCAGAATTCAAATTTTTTTTCTTTTTTTTTTGTTTTTTTTAAAATAAATTTTAATAACTAATGGAATTTCTATTTGATCCTCCTTGGAGCTTTAAGCTATCAACTTTAGAGCTTTAAAATCTTAATTACTTTTAACCTTGTAAATTATTTCTCTAATTGTAATTATTACTTATCAACGAATAAAAGTCTAGATGTTTATCTTGTCATCCATTGTGAACAAGCAGATGTTATAAATCGGGGGTCTCAAACTCAAATTATCCGCGGGCCGCAGGAGGTAGAGTCTGGGTGAGGCTGGGCTGCATCAAGTATTCCACAAAAAAGTGATTACAAATTCAATAAAGTACAACTGTTACAATCCGCTAAACTTTTATTAATAACAAATTAAAACATTAAGGGTTCTCAAGAACTAGGCCCCACTTACTGCCTCCTGTTCCTCGTTACCATAGACCTGGCAGCGCTTCTTCTTTGCTCTTAGGGAGATTTAGAAACCCACATAATAAATGAGGCTGCATTTGTCAGAGAGTGAATTCCCCAATAATGACGTAATTTTCGACGTATGAACTATATATTGCTCGATAATTTGAAATAATGATGTAATGTTTCCATAATGGTTTTTGTCGTATATCATCAAAGCTGAAAAGAGACGGTTGGTAACAATGACCTTTTGGCTGAGAATCAACAAATATTTTTCGACAGTTTTAGTTACAGCAAACAAATATATGTTAATTACAGCAAACAAATAAATGTTAATTTTGGCAAAACCATAACAAATCACTGCACATACTTACGCTAGTTTGTTCCAAAAATTAGGCCAACAAGACATTAAAACTTGAATATGAACCTCGCTTCACCTTTAAACTCCACAAGTACACCTGGCCGTCTCATTGCCTATCATTGAAATCGGCATTATCTTCTTGGTAAGAAAATAAAATTCCCGGTGATCTAAAGTCAAACCATTTAGCTAATAAATGCTATGAAAATAATGAGCTTCTAGTAAACGAAGATGAAAAAGCATACATTAAAAATAAAAATATGGCGATTCCCAATAGTGATTTTAAAACTAAATGCGTTTAAACTAAACGAGGAATAGGAAATATTTATGAATTATTGATGCGAAGGAAGATGCCTTTGTAGGTAAAATAATTTTAATCTTTTGATTGACTTACCCTATTTTGAAAGTGATCAAGCAAACAGGTTCGGAATTTCCCTCACTCGACATTCGTACACACTAGATTGCTACAATTTACACAATTATGGTTGTGCATTACCCACTGACTTTGAAACTTTTGATATATGTATATACAATGTTCGAGGCTTGTTTTCTCTAAATCGCCCTGTGGCCATGTTTGTCTCATCAAATGCTTTCAAATAAAAACAAACTTCTAGTCACATTATAGATATGAGAAAGGGGAAAATGCGCGGGCTGCATTAACACTAAACTTTACTGTCAGGTAGCGGGCTTCAAAATATCGTCTTGTGGCCCGCGAGTTTGAGACCTCTGTTATAAATCATGGATTCATGACAAAATTGTCAGCTGTTTCCTTCTGTTTGAAATTATTTCTTTTTTCTACAATGCTTCTGGCATAGTTTTTTAACTACATAGTGCAGAAGTTGTCACTTACTACCACATTCAAACTTTTGACTCAAATGATTAAATGCCACTGAGTATTTAGAAAAATGTAGGATGTATCAAAGCTGACCAGAGTCCAAGCAAATTGTTTCTAGAAGTTACGGTTTATGTTTTTTGAATTATAGTTATCTTACTATGGAAAGCATTCAGGTAAAATAGCAACAACAAAGAAAACAACTCTTATTAAATCAATTTTTATCAATACCAATATGGTGACAATAGTTAAAATAATGATATCACTCTCCTATTTAAGCTCATCTTAGCCATTAATTGGACCATTTATAACACATGTGCTTATGTTATTGAAGTTGATCAAAAGACCATCTCCTGGGTTATAACCCTTGCAGTAACTGATGTATTGATATGGAAAATAATTAGCCATGCTGTAGGCACCAACAAAGTTCATCAATTATTTAGTTTTTTGCTATTCAATAAATAGTAGAACAAGATATGTTTAGGCTTGAAAATAAAAGACAAGACAATTTAGTGGACATTTCAGCTAGAAGCCTTCTTCAGCAGACTAAGACACTCAATACATTAAACAACAGGCATATTTTATAAAACAACAACTTAGGTTTAGAAGATCTCAAAGTCAATATAGCTCATATCTTCAGAACAGGAAGTTCTCTATGTCTATTGCTAAAGACAAGATTTCCCCTGACTAGTCTTATTTATAAATTGCTTTGAGTGCCTGCCCATTTTCTTTCCCTTGTGTATTGTGCACTTGGTGATAACTATGCATGTTCTAAGTATTCTATAGATACATCAGGAGAAAAAGGCAAAATATGCTTTTCCTCTTTTTCTTAAATAAAATCTTCAATCTACATGTCTCGCTTATAGTCTGTGTCTTTTAATCTAATAGCTGAATGAAATCTTGGTGAAACTCCTAAACTTCATTTTCATAAGAAATAAAATAGAAATTTTTCATTTCATGACATTATTTGAAAAGTTAAATACTTGACCTTTCAGAGTCAAACATTAAACTGTTTCAATAAATAAAAAACCCATTAAATTGAATATGATCTGTATAAAAATGCTTGCAGATAAAGTATTTGACATTTCTGTTGCCACAATGCCCCGTAATGCGTCTTTCTGTTGTTTCAGACGCGGGTGGCGGGGCAACTCGTGAGTATGATTGTTACCTATGTAGCTGTCATGGGTCGTACTCACCATCACTAAACAGTTTCTTTCATGAATGTTTTGCTTTTCTTTACTTTATTGTAGACAAAAAATGTTGCAATTACTTTTTCAAAATGTTTCATTGCAGCTTTCAACCGTTAGTGAATGAATATATATTTTTTTTAATTCAATGTTTTTTAAACTAAATTGACCAGAGGTTCAACTCAGAGAGTAATTATTATTAAGAACATGTTAGAATGATTTGCAACAGAAACAGCAAATCCATTATGACATAGACATAATCTATTAATTTTTACACATAAAAAAACAATGCATGAAGCATTACAGCCTGCACAAAAAACACTGGCTATTATTATAAATGTATTAATACTCTAATGAGATTATGTTTTTAAACACACACAAATGTTAACGCTGAACAAACACTTATAAAATATGTGTGCCTTATAAACAGTTGTTTTTAATGTTTCTTCTGTAGTGAAATGAATACATTTATTTTGTTGGTATTTATATTTACAATGCATTTCTGAAGGAATCTGTCCAGTTTTTTTAATTGTGTAAAGAAGTAGAAAAGCTGCTTCTTTACTGTAAAAGTTTTGATAGGAAATGTTTAACTTCTATAAATACTTTTTACAAGCTTAATTTTAAAAAAGAATTTTTGGCAGAAAATCATGAATAGCTTAATGGAATCCTTATGTTTAATTTAAAAAATGTATTTTAAAATATTTTATTAATGGTTGGAATGTTACTCTTGACACTGTCTTGCATGATGTTAGCATAAAAACTTAATCTTAAGGGCAATATCATAAACTGTCTGCCTTGTGCTATAAACACTGAAAGTGTTGCTTTTCTCTTTACAGAGGAGGGATGAGAAGGGATATGTGGTCTGGCAGAGGTGGCAATATGAGGGATAGGAGAGACACATATTCACGGCCATACGATGACCGCCGTAGAGAGCGTTACAGTCCTGGAAGATACGACTCCAATCCACATCCACCAAAACGTATGCGGAGAGACTGGGACGAAGGTGGTTACACCGGTGTTTATGAAAGCCCCTTCCAGGTCAGCAATGGGCCCCCTGGAGCAGATAGATCAAATTGGAACCCTCGTGGCATGGAAGTCAGTAATGGTCCTCCTGATCGATTAGGATTTGGAGATCGAAGGGATACTGGGTGAGTTTTATTTATTGAAATTATTTCATGTGGTACTGACTTCCATACCCATTTTAATCTCCTGAGCCTACGCCACCTGATGCCTACAGGTGGGGAATGTTAAAGAAGAGTGTCAAACAGTGAAGATCCACCAAGAACTGTGCCTGCATTACGACTGAAAATCTATGTAAGCAAAATAACACTGTCTACAGCAAGGTGGTGCAAAGTAATAATAAACATTTACGTTATACATACTGTGGTAAATAAACATGCTAAAAGTTTGTATGTATGGTTTTACTTTCATGGGATGTAAATTTACAGATGTTCGTCTTTTCTTTTCAGTAGTTACTTTGGCTCGTAATGTATATATATCTTTTTAAAAATTCTATGTTGATAAAGGGATCCAGAATACCCAACTCAACCCCCAATGATGACCTTTAAGCAGTTTCTTAGCAAGCAAGATGATACTATTTCTCAAGATGAGGCCATCAAATTATTTGACGATTACAAGTTGGACTTCAAAAGGCAGCAGATAAATGAATTTTTCCTGGCCCATAAAGATGAGGAGTGGTAAGATATTAATGGATTCATTGATGCATGTTTTAAATTTGTAAACAGTTGCTTTACCAATAAGAAGCAGTTAACCTGTTTTTGTTTTTTGTAGTCTGCTACTTTTGAGACTTTTATTGTTAGTCTGCCAGTTAATTTTTTAATGACGTCTGCAGAAAAGAAGAAAAGACAATATTGGGTTTATTCATTTAATGATACGCAATTTTCAGAAATAACAACATTGCTTTGAAGGAAGTCACATTTTTTCCCCTCTCTGATTGAAAGAGCAGAAGAGTTTTTAAAAAAATCACAGAATTATTTATTAACTCTTCCGTTCTGTTCATCAGAATTTTTTTAATGATGCATATCTCTTGTTCAACAGCAGTGAACAGAATAGAACATCATCTTGTACTCTCAATTTTAGTGGTAGGGCACACTGCGCACAATGCAGTGTTTAGATTTATCAAAGTTATAGGCAGTTGCTAGGTGTAAAATTCTCTGGACTTATATTTTCATGGATTTCTCACATCAAGTGGAGAGATTTCAGTGCATTAAATTCAATATGAAATAATGGGAAAGTGATTTCAAAGTGCATAAGAGAGTTGGAATAATCATCAGGTATCAATTCAGGTGGTTTGTTGTGTTCTCGTGGCTGTTTTGTCCATCCCACATCTTCCACCAACAGAAGTCATTTCTATGTTATAGGCATAAGGCTTGTTTCTTTTATTTGTTTTTTTAAACTTAAGATTGTCAGTCTTCAAACACAAAGTGGAGAGTGCTACATGATTAGTTATTCTGAAGAGTCGTACAAGGCTGGTTTATTTTAATTTTTTTTTTTTGGCTATAAATTATTATTTTCTCTCTCTTTCTCTCTCTTTCTCTCTCTCTCTCTCTCTCTCTCTCTCTCTCTCTTTTTTACCTTAAAAAAGTTATCATTGAATATACACAAACTTTCTTCATCTGCTCAATGAAATATCATTTCACTAAAGAAGTTCCTTAAGTTTCATTTTTTTTAAGTTGTAATATTGTATACTTTTACCACCATTAGGTTTAAATCGAAATACCACCCAGAGGAATGTGAAAAAAGACAAACTGAAATAGGGCTGTCACTGCAATCCAGGAAGAAAGTATTTGAAACATTAAAGGAAAAGAAGTTTTTTGAAGGAGTATCGGTTGATGTGGAATGCACAGAGCCACTTATCAAGATCCTGGATGCAAGTGGGTTGCATTTTTTACAAATCATTGTGTTAACAAAATATGTCTCTATTAAATTTAGGACATATCAACTTATTGCAATCTTTGTCTGGGGATCATTGTGTTAACAAAATATGTCTCTATTAAATTTAGGACATATCAACTTATTGCAATCTTTGTCTGGGGATCATTGTGTTAACAAAATATGTCTCTATTAAATTTAGGACATATCAACTTATTGCAATCTTTGTCTGGGGATCATTGTGTTAACAAAATATGTCTCTATTAAATTTAGGACATATCAACTTATTGCCATCTTTGTCTGGGGATCATTGTGTTAACAAAATATGTCTCTATTAAATTTAGGACATATCAACTTATTGCAATCTTTGTCTGGGGATCATTGTGTTAACAAAATATGTCTCTATTAAATTTAGGACATATCAACTTATTGCAATCTTTGTCTGGGGGTTTTGTTTTGATCAGCTGAGTTGAAAGTTTTGTTGGGGGATTTTGTTTTGATCAGCTGAGTTGAAAGTTTTGTTTGGGGTTTTTGTTTTGATCAGCTGAGTTGAAAGTTTTGTTGGGGGATTTTGTTTTGATCAGCTGAGTTGAAAGTTTTGTTTGGGGTTTTTGTTTTGATCAGCTGAGTTGAAAGTTTTGTCGGGGGATTTTGTTTTGATCAGCTGAGTTGAAAGTTTTGTTGGGGAATTTTGTTTTGATCAGCTGAGTTGAAAGTTTTGTTGGGGGATTTTGTTTTGATCAGCTGAGTTGAAAGTTTTGTTGGGGGATTTTGTTTTGATCAGCTGAGTTGAAAGTTTTGTTGGGGGATTTTGTTTTGATCAGCTGAGTTGAAAGTTTTGTTGGGGGATTTTGTTTTGATCAGCTGAGTTGAAAGTTTTGTTGGGGGATTTTGTTTTGATCAGCTGAGTTGAAAGTTTTGTTGGGGGATTTTGTGTCAACAAATTGGCAAGATATGTTGGACATGTTTTTAAGGTTCTATATTGAAATATTTTAACCATATCGAAACCAGCACATTATTCAGATGCTGTCAAATCCCATCCTTCAGATTCCAAGGGCTTAACCATTTGGCTACACCCACTTTCTAACCTCTGCATTGCAAAATTTCCATAGAATAAAAACATGTGTTAGAGTCTATAAAATATTTTTATTGCGTTTTACAAGTGTTTAACCCTGTAACTGTCAAGAGCAATTTTCTATAGTTCTATAGCTTCAAGCCATTTTTAGCAATTTAATATGCTTGTCAAAAATGAAAAAAAATTCCAGACTAAATGAATTGAGAGACCCTGTACAAGTATACATTTTCTGAAAGTACATCAGACAAGGTATCTTATTGGATGAAAAGAATTTTATATTATTTATGTTGATATTGACCATGACATTTACAGAGTGAGTAAAATTTTACTACTCAGCTTTTGCATTCAACCCACTCTAAATACTCGATAAAATGCTAATACTATCATAAAATCAAGTTTTAGATATTCTAGAAGCAATATTCTTTCAGAAAATGACAATTTATAGTTACTTATATTGACAATAGTGATATTGGTGAATTTCATTCATTACCTTCAAATTTCTGTAAAACAAAATACAAGAGGGAAAGCACGAAATGAGTTCAAAAAAGTCTTTTCATTTGACGTTATTAAATCCATTTTGTATCAATTAATACTCCAGAACATATGCAAACATAAATAGCTCAGGGGTAGATTTTTGGGATCAAATCCGTCCACCCTTTCCCAAACAAATTTGTCTTAATACGACTAAGCTTAGGGATAAAATTGTCAATATCTGACTCTTATCTCGACATCACCGCTAGAGCTATTGCTGTCATTACTAGCATGTGGAATATCTCTGATATCTTTACTTTCATCGTAATATATTTTAAATAATTCCAAAAAAGATTTTCTGTATAAATTTTGAAATCCCAAAGAGGGGCCCTCTCCGGCATCAGGCATTATGGTGGTGAACAAATTTGAGAAAATTTCGCACTCAATTACTTACAAAAAAAGTCCCTGATAAAAGCATGTCAAACACACTGATAGTAACTGAAATAGACAGCAAACTCATTTTTATAGAGTGATTTCCCCTTAAACAATATACATTCAATCAATTCACATTTTTAATGATGATTTTACTAACTCCTGATTATATGGGCCGTGACACCACAGAACGGGGTACAACGCAGAACTGTTTATTCTTACAATGTACGATTTTTAGATGTCTTTTATGATTGAACGCGAGGCCCGCCAAAACTACATACAATTTTCAGAAACCAGGTGAAAAAATATATGGGTAAAGATTAAAAAAATAAATATATACATTTTCGGTTGTTAACGTTTGAGCCCTTTCTGATAAAAATCTGGCAGTGAATGGACCAAGAAAAATGGTTGTAATTTTTTAAATGTTGGGACCATCCTTCATTATATTATGTACGCACTGAGAGGAAAAGTGGGGGTTATTGATTAAAGAGATTTGTGGCATACGAGACGCATGGGTAGGGGGATTGGTGGGAGTGTCAAAGATTATAAAACTATCACTGCAACGTATCGTATTGATGGTGATGATTGTTGCTTTGTGTGTCACTAGTGAACTAGTTAGCTGCATCGTCAGCAGTAATATTTAGACGAGTCGCCCTAGTGCGACAACTTCACTCACCACCCCCTTTGACTGCTACCAAGCGTGTGACGTAGTTTTGTTACATATAATTACATATATGTTACATATATAATTATCTTGTTCATCTGAACCGCGGCGATTGTGAAAACGGAGAAAACTAGCGACGGTTTTTAAAATAAAATACATTATCCAACTGTTCTGCACTCGAATCTTGGATTTTGACATATTTTTATTAGATCTAGTCGGTGTCATTAAAGAAATATTTTTAGAATTTGCAAAGCAGCTCTAATCTCCTCAACGATTTTAATGCAACAGTTTTGTATCACTTCTACTATTGTTCATCCGCCTAAATCGACTAGTACCATGGAGTCTTCTGGTTGGTGGGGGGGGGGGGGGGGGGGGGCGGGGGGGGGTTTCGGTGAGCTTGTAGGTGGCTTGCTAATCCGATCCGTGCTTGGAATAATCTATAGTCATTTTTAATATAGTAGTTACTATTCTAGTGTCTCTGGTTTTTCATTTTTATTTTACATAAGCAGTTTAAATTGGTAACATGTTTTTAATAATTGTAAAGCGCTTAGAGCTGTAAGGTAAGAGCTATATAAAAAATGCCTAAATAAATAAATAATCTCTGGCACTCGGGCAGGGGATATAGTTGGTGCAGTCGGTGATCTAATATTGCTTTTTCGGGCTAGCCTGCGTGTCTGGGCTGTGGTTATCCTACTGGCTTCATGAGATTTAGCACCCTTCTTGACAGCTGCTCTCCAACTGGCTCTGTCCTGGTCTGTCTGCACCCATTTAGTAGGGTTAAGCTGAAGTCCTTTAGGGCAGCTTTCAATGAGTCTTTGTATCGCTTTTTTTTTATCCCAAGGAGGTAAAGTGAGTTCTCCGAAGAATATCTGTTTTGGGAACCGGTGGTCTTCCATACGGGCTATGTGTCCCATTCAACTGAGTTGAGACTGCATCAGGGTGGTGAAGATACAAGGTTTGTTCACTCTAGCGAGCACCTTTGTGTCAGGAACTTTGTCTTGCCACCCGATGCCGAGGAGTTTCCTGAGGGTGTGAAAATGGTTCAGTTTCTTGGCGTGACGCTGGTAGACTGTTCACGTTTTACATCTATAGAGCAATGTCGAGAGGACTGCTGCACTACAGACTTTGATCTTCATTTCTCGTCCGATACCTCTCATGTCCCAAACAGTGCTGCGGAATCTGCCAATTATTGTACTCGTTTTTGCGAGTGTGGCTTTCATTTCGTGATCCATGACGACAGATCTGGAGAGAGTGCTGCCCAAGTAGGTAAATTTGTTTACCGCGTTTAGACGCTGTCCGCTGATGGTGATGCTGGGTTCAACGTAGGTCTTACTGGAAGCTGTCTGATTTACCACTTCAGAGATCTTTGTGTTGATTGAGAGTTAACAGTCTATAGCAGGTCTGCACAAATCAAAATGTAAGGCGGGCCTTAATACTTTATGAAAAACTTGTGAGGCCCGAAAAATAATAGGATTTGAGGAAAGCTATTAAGCAAATAATAATAATAAAAGAATAATACATTACATTACTTTACCCGGCCCAAAGCAGGTGCTTACCAGACCAAATTTACTGAGTTGCGTTCTTCATGGAAGGATCCATCATAAGCACACTGCACAATCTGCAAGTTGAACTTCTGATTTGCAATCAGAGGCAAAAGGAATGGTGTTGATTTAGGAGATTTTGTGTATGGCGCGGGTATAAATATTTAAATCTATACAATCAACACCGCACATTTTCGTAATGGCAGTTTTCTTTTTATTGTTCCTCGGCAGAGAGTACGTGCATTATTAAAAAATTCTACAATATTCATCCCGAGCAAGTCCAAAACATAAAATACCACCCAATTTTTAGTAGAAATTATTGTTATGAGGTTGTTAAGATGTATTTTCACAAATGAACTCGCTAGTTATACTCGGTAGTAGAGAAATTACCGTAATGTTTAGTCTGCCAAATGTTCAAAGCACATGTGCAGTAAATTTCGTTGGGCTGCGCCAGTGGTTACAAATTTTTGTTTCCCACTGCCTATGCCGTATTAGGTTCTCACCACCTCCCTCTGTGAAATTCTAACAAGTACACTTCGAAATAGCGAATTCAAAAATAAAATAAAGGGTTGGATAAAAATAAGTATAACGTGTATGTAGGTCATACATCTGAACGCCATCTGTAACTGCAAACAGTAGTTACTGAAGTGGGTAACTGTTTGCACCATGACCGAGAGTTGTCACATTGGATTAAAAGTGAAAATAAAATATGAAAATTTTGTAATATTTCGCAACGCCCCTGAGAGGAAGCCACAGCAACCAATATAGAAAAATGCACATCCCCCATCTGGGCGGACCAGTAAAAGGACAATGTATTGCGCCCCTTGTCTTTGTTAAGTAAAATAAAGATGATTTTGGTGCCCGTTGCTCCTCGCCACATTCTTATGGCCTTCCCTGAGGGCAACGAGCACCCAGAGCAATGCAACGTATATTCTAGGAACCACGGGGCTGGCCGAATCACAAGTGGTGAAAACCCGTGTCACATTTTGTCTATTGTAACATAATATATAATGGATTTTGTTATTTTTGGGGGGGGGGGGGGGGNTTGGGGGGGTTTACTTAAAAAAAAAGTATGCATGCAACAGGGGGAGGGGGTTTATTAGATAATTTTTCCTAAAAAATAAATCTCAAATACTTGGTATGGTGTTTTTTTTTTTAAATTTATGACGCCCTAATTTGTTACCCGGTAATTAATTCTTATTTAAATATATTTTGTTTTATGCTGATCTGACTTTGTGTTTAAACTTAGTTAAATTTCACCATCTGTAAAACAAAGTGACCGCAGTTTGCAGTTAACGTCAGTCATCTACTATTTACTTTCATTTCAATTTGTTTCAAGTCAGCTGAACTCAATTCCGCTGAACACGCTACATGAGTAGCTCTTGTGTACATTGGATATACTGTATTTTTATTTATTTACTATTACACTACTGTATTGTATGATTTTGAGACGATATTGTACGATTTTAGGAGTTTGAGGGTAAACAGATCTGATAACGGCCGATTATCCGCCCGTTACGACATTTATAGGGTTGAAGTATTTTTTATTTAAAATTTTAAAACTAATATGGGTGAAAATTGGATTAGACACGGGTAGGTAGCACTAATTCGAATGAATTATTTTAACCCACTTTAATAATAAAATTTTGATCATCCTGTTCAACGTGAGCCTATAATTATATCTTTTTTAAAAAAAAATCTTAAAATAAAGCAGTTTCTCTACAAAACTCAAAGAATGGGTTTCACCTTATATTTTATGCTGAATCCGGGGAAAGTGTGCCATAGTTGGTTCTAAAGTCACCAGAGGAGAAATAAAAGCTTTATTTAAAGAAAAGGTGTCTTGGTTTGTTTTTTTTTTTTACAGCTGTGATTCTTCTTGAGGGAGGTAATGACCTTGATCTCACAATACTGGACAATCCGCTTGAGGAATCTGGAGATCGTTCTCGTCAGAATTCAGAATCCATTGCGACCCCAGTTAAAAGGTAGATCACTGTTGGTGTTTTTTCATCCGTTGCCTCGAGAGTTATGGATAATGTAATATACATTGATTCATATTGTATGTTAATATTTAAAAAAAAACTATTGATTGTAGTGCATGTATTCTTTAAAACACAGAATAATTTTTATTTCTTTAACGGACAAGTTTGAAAATTATCTGCAAATGCATGCAGGGGGTTTAATGATTAAAAATTCTTAAGTTTCTCAGATTAAAGAAAATGTTTATATAGTCTGCTAATTTTGTTTAGAAATGTTCATATTTTTTTTATAAAAATAGGTCTTTAGTCACCAAAATTTCAGAAACACGGAATAAAAAGTTCACATAAATATGCACATGTAAAATGTCACTAGACTGTAAAGTGTAATTCACCATACGTTGTGATCAAACTCAAGCCTCTTAGAAGTGTATAACGATTGTTTTTCCCATTTTCTTAATGGACAACCACGGTCTCTATTTCTTATGGAGTTTTTCTTTAAATAATGGATGATGGAATTTTCAAATAATAACATGACACCTTCACATTCATAGTTTGTATTTTTAAAAATCAGAATATAAATAACAAATGTAAAAATGTTGAAGTTAATTTTGTTTTAATATTTTTGTAAAAATTTTTGTAAAATTTCAGTGAAAAGAAAACAGATGGGGAAGATGGTGAATTAAGTGACTCAAAGTAATTTTTTTTTTTTTGTCGATTATGTTTGTCAAACTAAATGAAAGTAACTGTATAAACTCAAAATTGTAAATTAATTTAAATTAAGGGCTAACATTTAATTTTAGTCTTTGTATATATCACATAATATCAAACAAAGAATATATAGAAATAAGAAAATAAGATAACATAGATTGATATGCAATTTTAAATATTCTTGTTAGGGTGTTAAATATGGGTTAATATCTTATTACATTTATACATTTAAAAAAAGGCTTTCAAATATTTATTTATTTTTTTATATTTTAATTTAAAAACGTGTGTACCATCTTCAAAGTGTAAGGCACTTTAAAAATTTAAGTATTTTGAATGAGATATGAAAAAATACAAATATCTCAAAGTGGAACTCTGAAATGAGAAACTTATGCCTAGATTTGATCTTGTCAGAAGTTATCTTTTGTTACATACCAAATTCCAGTCACTTTCATTCTGCTATCATTTCACTAAAGTTTCATTTCAGTAAAAAAGAATCAAGAGAACTTTCACTTTTTAATAAAGATAAGAATGAATGATAGTTACACAAACAGTTATGAGCTTTTAATATCCTCTGCTGTTTTAACATATAATTTGAATAGTGACAAGCGGGACAATGAAGAAAAAGATGGAGATCAGGAAAAAAATTTGAAAGATTCTAAAGATGTGAGTAAATTTAATAGTTTTATGAGGTTTAATTTAACAGATGAAATAATATCATAATGTATAATCATTATTGTTTAATCATTATTATTCATTTACTAATGATATAATTATTTATTTTAAAAAATTAAATTGTAGGTAATTGGGCCCATCGTATAAGGGATTCAATTTTTAAAATTTTAGATAATTGAGAACATATTATTTGAATTAGTGATTCAATTTTACAAAAAAAATTTAAAACCAGCTGACATTAGAGATGACAATAACACCTGAACAGGAAGAGCTGAAGAGGAAAGCAATGGAGTTTAAAAAGCAACAAGAAGCTAATGCTGCAGAGGCAAAGGTACAGTCCGGGTTTATTTTTTGCATTACATTTGGTAAACTGGATAGTGTAAGAATTTAAGAATAAGGCTTGAAGAGGCTTAAAAAACTTTGTGCGTCTTACACATCTCATCAAATCATACATTTTTTATTTTATGTCATTAGGAGAAGGTGGAGGGGGAAAAAACTATTCTCAAAATTGAGGTCTTAAATAAACATTTTGTTTCTTCATCCAATTAAGAAGCAGAGCTTAATCTTTAAATCTATTCAAATTTGACACAGTTAAATATTCCGGATTCCATGACTTCAAATTAATTGTTTTAAATGCTTAAAGGTGCCGTTTATAATGAGTATTTAAGATGAGTAATGTACAATTTGTATGTGTTTGTTGCGATGTTTGGTTAATTCTTATCTGATAGAAGATTGTCATGACTAAATCTTGGCAACTAAAGACAGTTAAGTCAAATGTTCAGTACTGCACTTTTCTCAGGCACAGCGCAGAAAGAAAAAAAGCCAGAGAAAGAAATCAGATTACAGTTTTGAGAGTGACAGTGAGTCTGTGTCTGAGTCTGATTCTGACGCTGAGCCAGCCCCACCAGGTAGATCATTTGAAAAGATGTGCTCTCATTGACATTCTCTTAGTGACAGAAATATTGTGTCAATATTTGGTTTTAAGATGTCCTCTCATTGACATTCTCTTAGTGACGGACATTTTGTCCATAGTTTGTTTTAAGATACATTTAAATATATTTTAGTAAAACAAGAATGTTTTAATCATAGGTCTAGAGGAAGATGCAAGCCCACCTGGAACAGAAACTGATAATAAGGAGAAAGTTGTCAATGGAGGTAAATAAGCTTATCATTCTTATAGTTTATCAGTACAGCAATTCATGTCTTGTGTTTGTATGGGGAGCCAATAATGGTCACTTGATATCTGACATTTACACATTTTTCTTCTAGCTGGTGATAATAAAGAAATGAGTCAGTCCATTGATGACAATAAGGAGAAAGAGGAGGTTGTTGAGCCAAAGCCTCGACCACTTCATCGGACAAACTCTATATTCCTGAGAAATTTGGCACCAACTATCACCAAGCAAGAAGTGGAGGCTGTAAGTTTTGACTTTTTATTAAATAAATCTAAATAGTTTCCACATTATTTTTAAGTTATTTTTATTTGTATCACAGCTAAAGTATTATCAAGTTAAAAAGCAACACTCAATCAGAATTTTTTTGCAATTTATTTTTTTAATTATTTTTTTTTATAGTCCTTAATATGTATAACATAATTCAGGGTGTTTCTAAAAATAGTCTTACAAAAACAGTATATGCTTATAAAATGTAGATTGTAAATGGTCTACTAGTGTAATTGATGTAATACTTGCTATAAGACTGGGATAGTCTTTAATTAAATCCCTGTCTAATTATAATCTAGACAACCACATTGTAATTTTTAACCTTAAAATATTTATAATAGTTGTATCAAAGCATAATTTATGTCATTTATCGTATGATAAACATCAATAATTTTATTACTTTAGAGTAGACATGGCACTTCCTTATTCATTTGAGATCTTATTAATCATATTTATTTTTTAGGTTTGTTATTTATTAAAATTATTTCTCTTGATTTTTGTTTAATCTTATTTAGATGTGTCGTCGCTATCCAGGCTTTAAACGTGTGGCCTTGCAAGATCCTCAGCCAGAGCGCCGCTTTTTCCGACGAGGGTGGGTTACATTCTCAAAAGAATGTAATATCAAGGAAGTCTGCTGGAGTCTCAATAACATACGGGTCTGTATGTTAATCAGAATTTTATTATTTGATGCAAACATTTGTTTAAAATGAGGCCTTTTTTTTTTAATTACGTCTTTGATTGTATATTTAGCAGACTTATTTACCCTTATGATTTTGGCATACAATGTAGGAATTTGAGATGCCTTTCACGGTTGTACGCAGAGAACTGTTAGAACTACAATTTTAAGAGACCTGGTTTAAAATATATACATTCCTTAATTTTTTTTCGATTAAAAAATTTTAAATAAATTAGAAAGTACATCTTCAGTAGTGCAGAAGACAGAGGTGAATGGAGGAGGATAGTTCACATGTCATCTATGGCGCCCCAACGGCCCAAGGACTAAGGGACATGATGATGATATCTTCCGTTATTATTTTTAACTTGCATTTGCATTCTACATCCAGCAGTGAATTGATCGAGAAATATGATTGGTTGGTGACCCTCTGTAATTAAATTACGTTTGCCCTGAGAGTTTTACAATAATCATCCTGAAAGTCCAAAAATAGCATATTATGGCAGTGTTTTGTAGGAATTATTGCCATGTATTTAAAAAAAAATGAACTGGCTAGATAGATACACTCACATGGAACTCAGTATAGAGGTGTTACTGTAATAATTAGTCCACCGTATGTTCAACGTGCATAAGGCATATATTTCGTTCGGCTATGCCAGTGGTTCTAAATTTTATTTTTTTCTGCGCCTATTTCAAACTTATATTTTCACCGGGCTCCCTGTGTTGAATTATAACAAGTAAATTTCAAAATAGCGCATACATAAACAAAATAAAATAAGGTTTGGGTAAAAATAAATATAACTTTTATGTAGGCCACTCAGCGCGATCTAATAGAAGCAAACAGCAGTTACTCAAGTGGGTTACTGTTTGCACCACGACCAAAAGATATTACATAGGATTAAAAGTGGAAATAAAATAAAGAAAATTTTGCAACACCCCTGGGGCGAACCAGCAGAAGGAATATTTTAAGCGGTCCTTGTCTTTGTTAAGTAAATGGGATTTTATAGTTTAATTCACTACTAAGGTCCTTTCTAAAGATGATTTTGGCGCCTCCTGATTTTGGCGCCCGTTGCTCTTTGTACCATTCTCATGTCTCTTCCCGTGCTGTATGACCTGATTTTGTGACAGTTCGTCCCCCTAGAATAACAATGTTCTATGTGACCTTTTGATCAAACCGAGATCATTTGAAAATTTGATGTTTGCTATGGATAAACTAAAAACATTTTTATGGAAGTTGTTGTTATTTTATGTTTATATTGTCAATACAAGGTTTGATCATTAAAATGAAGTTTCTATATTTTGATTTTGATTTTATATGAATTTTTGAAATTTTTGATAGAACTTTGTAATTCTGAAAATGCTATTTCACTTTAGAATAACAAGGTTCTATTTTTTTAAGACTATGATTTAAGAAGTTACTTTCAGGAATAAATACATATTCATTATTTAGATTGCAAATACTAACAAGACTAAATCATTAACAATTATATTGAAAATAAAGACAAAAAATATTTCCTTGTCTATAGTTTCTTTGTATTAATTTATTATTACAAACATGAACATTCATTAGTCAATAACATGGTTTACACACAAACTTGAAGTTTCTGCATTATTTCCATTCAAAACCAGCTACCATACTACAAGTTACATATTTAAGTTATAGTATTGTTATGCTATAGTATTGCCTGTCTAAATCAGGCATGACCTTAGGCATGTCTCTAAAATCTGTTTTCTTAGCTTCAGGCACTTTGTTAGACGACTTTGGTTGAGGCAAAAATATTTGGGTTGATTTAATTGGTACACAAATTTTAGGTTTTCTTAAACTCATGTTTTCAAATGCTATGTCCTTATGGCTAAATCTACAACCAACCCATGGCTTATTTGTAAATTTGATTACACATACTTTGGAATATTGTGCACTCTGGTATTGAAACTTATCAGTACATGTTTTAAAATCTTTGAAGTCATTTAACCTCATTGCTTCATCTGTACGTTTGTATAAGGTTTTCTTCTGTTTACAGTTTTAAGGACTCTTATTAGACTTAGTGGTGAAAACACTTTACAATGGATAATAGTATTCACTGCTATCACTATCATATTCGCTTGACGAAGAGCTTGAAAAACTATTTTCTAGTGAGGCGTTCGCCATTTTGAATGTAAACAATCCGTGACCATTGCAGTAACAGTACATAACAAGCCTTATGATTGGCTGACGATACCGAACTCATTTTACAAGCTGAATTTTTATTGGTTCACCATAAATAGTATCTCATTAAAACTAAAAATATGCATTAGAACCTTGTTATTCTCCAGCGAAAGGCCAACCTCGAGTTAGAACCTTGTTATTTTGTATTTCCTACAAAATCAGCTGATTATAAAGGTTCCATCTTTTGTACCATGATAGAGGGGTTGATTAACTTTAGCACAGGAGCAATAACTCATTTTTTTCAAAAAATCGACTTAGAACATTGTTATTCTAAGGAGAGTTATTGTTGACTGCGGCTGGTGAGTGCAGCAGCAGAGAAAACTAGAGAATGCATTCTCAACTATTCCGCACAGCAATATTAGATTTAGAAATATTTGACAGGATCTGAGAGGGCCTTTGAAATCTATTATAGTTCAAGCTTAACAGCTATATGATTTTGAATACCCCCTCTTCCTTTCACCCATTTAAAGCTTGTGGTAGCTATCAGATTGTAACTCGATTCCACTAGACACGAGATATGAGGAGTTATTGTGTACATTATATATACAGTATGTTTATTTATTTACTATAAAAGTACTATACGATTTTAAGACGATATTGTTCAAGGGTAAACAGGTCTGATTTAGTCAAAAGTTAAAACTGGACATATTATGAGTTTTCTTGCTCCAACTTCCAATAAAATTATTTGCTGTTTAGGTTCTCCGATAACATTAAGTTACTCTCAGCTTACTATCGTGATCTCTGACATTTTATTTGATGGCACTTGTAATCACTTTGTTTTATTTTAATCAGTGCTATTCATATTTCTTTATCTAGCTAAGAGATTGCGAACTTGGCGCCACATTGAATAGAGAACTGAAACAACGTGTGAGAGCTGCTAATTGGATAACGGTACACAAACAAATCATGCGTAATGATATCAAGATGGCTGCAAAGATTATACAGATTCTGGACAAAAAATATAAACTCTGGGAGGATCCAGGAGAAGAAAAGAAAGATGAGGAAAAAGAGGTTGGTCATTTTTTTTTCTATGTCAGTGTAGTTAATAGAAAAATAGGAGTACGTCTTTTGAATTTTTAAATTTTTAAACATATCTAAACAAGTGAAAAATTAGAGTTCAATTTCAAATTGGAGAAAATCTTCATGTCATAAGAGCCATGAAAGTTAAAATAAATAAACTCACATATGACAGAAAGCTGCTTATTCTATATTAAATTTACATTAATAAGGTTTTTAAAATAATATTTTGTATAAGTATCTCAAAAAATGAAAGAAGTTCATATATCACATTTATTTTCAGCCACAGTTTGGCTTTGTTTCCAAGAATCCGGTGTTGAAAAATATAACTGATTATCTAGTTGAGGAAGGCAGCTTTGAAGAAGATGAACTTATTGGTGGGTACCAATGTGTGGTTCATTCCTGTCATTGTCATGACTGTCTAGCTTTTTGACATTTATCATTCATGTCATTGTCATGACTGTCATAGCTTTTTGACATTTAAACAATAACAACCTAAACATCTGTACTTAATTTTCTGTTCTGTATCTTTCATTCTTCTGTTATGCTCAAGAAGTAACTTCCTTTCATTCTTCTGTTATGCTCAAGAAGTAACTTCCTTTCATTCTTCTGTTATGCTCAAGAAGTAACTTCCTTTCATTCTTCTGTTATGCTCAAGAAGTAACTTCATTTCATTCTTCTGTTATGCTCAAGAAGTAACTTCCTTTCATTCTTCTGTTATGCTCAAGAAGTAACTTCCTTTCATTCTTCTGTTATGCTCAAGAAGTAACTTCCTTTCATTCTTCTGTTATGCTCAAGAAGTAACTTCCTTTCATTCTTCTGTTATGCTCAAGAAGTAACTTCCTTTCATTCTTCTGTTATGCTCAAGAAGTAACTTCCTTTCATTCTTCTGTTATGCTCAAGAAGTAACTTCCTTTCATTCTTCTGTTATGCTCAAGAAGTAACTTCCTTTCATTCTTCTGTTATGCTCAAGAAGTAACTTCCTTTCATTCTTCTGTTATGCTCAAGAAGTAACTTCATCTTAATCTAATAAACAGGAGAAACAGGAGAAGACAAAAAAGATTCCAATCCAGAAATTATAGTAGAAAAAGATGAATCTTTAAGTCAGGTATGTTATTATTAAGTCAGGTTTTACTTCCGGGGGCGCTGCTCTGCAGGCGACTCGATTGCACCAGTGCATGTTTTCAGCTTTTCACGGTTTTACACGTTTTATTTAATATGTATTTTCACTCAGTTCAAATGGATGTTCTAAGGCTGATTTTCTCGTGAGTTTTTTGTGGGAAACGGTTTTAATTTGGACTTTTGATATTAAGTTACTCAGCATAGTAAAGAAATGTCACTTCCGCCATTTCTGTAAACTTCCGCCATACCAACAAAAAAATGGCGATCGATTCACGACCTATTCGAAGAAAGAGGGGCAGAAGGGGAGGCATTCGTGTAAAATGCAGAAACAGATGACAGCGGGGCTTTCTTCCACCAGTTGTTTTGGGAAATGTTAGATCACTGTGTAACAAGATGGATGAACTGGACTGTTGCTGTAAGAATTTCTATTAATTTCGCGAAAGCTCTTTAATATGCCTGACAGAAACATGGCTTATCGAAACGGTACCAGATTCAGCAGTCGCATTGGACGAATTTAACCTTTTCCGTGCCGATAGAACAACCATCAGCGGGAAATCCAATATATATTAACAAAAACTACTGTAGCATGAACAAAAGTACAGTGAAACATATAGTTTGTACACCCGACATAGAACTACTCTGCATTACTTTAAGGCCATTTTACCTACCAAGGGAGTTCAGCAAATCTGTATCATCCTTACTTACATTCCACCTAATGCTAACAAGGAGCAGGCTACTGAGGGACTTTTGGATGTAATTCATGATTTTGAAACAAAAAATCCAGACTCCGTTCGTCTTGTTATGGGGGACTTTAATCAAATATCACTGAATAAATCCATGCCAACTTACACCCAGTAAGTTATTTGCCCCACGCGACAAGACCGAACTCTGGATGTGTGTTATGGTAATATAAAAAAGGCCTACACATGTTGTGCTTTATTTCCACTTGGAGAATCCGATCACATAATGGTCCGCCTAACGCCATGCTATTAGTCATTTTTAAAAACAACAAAAATTCAAACAAAAACTATTGAACTGTGGTCAGATGAGGCGACAGAAAAACTTGAAGCCTGCTTGAAATTTACAGACTGGGACACGTTTATAAATACTTGCCCGGACATTGACGAGCTAACAAACACCGTCAATTCCTATATTAAGTTCTGTGTAGACGAAATTATTCCCAAAAAAACAATCCAAGTATTCAACAACAAACCCTGGATGAGCAGAGAAATAAAGGAGGCCATCCACCACAAGAAGAACATGTTTAAGATTAACGATCAGATATTCATTAAAGCTAAACAAATATTGAAGGAAAAAATATATCAGGGTAAAAAACAATACAAGCAAAAAATCAAAAAATGATTCACTACTAACAATTCAAAGGCTTGTTGGGCAGGACTAAAGCAAATAACAGGGTATACTCCTAAGTGAGAATCTTTTTCCCATCTTTTTCTTTGTCTTCCTCTTCTTCTCCCTCCTCTTTATGGTGCCCTGCATTATTTCTTTGGAAAGCCCTTGTTTCCTTGTTACGTGGCCGTACCATTGTAGTTAGTGTTTTTTCACAGTCACCAGTAGGTCATCGTACTCCCCAATTGCCCGGCGAACCCTTTCCTTCACTGTATCATTGGAGATATGGTTCCTATAGCAGATGCCAAAAATGCTTCTGAAGCATCTCATCTCCATCGCCTTTATTTTCCTTTCAAGATCGGCTGTTAATGTCCAGGATTCGCAGGCATACAGGAAAATGGAGAGGACTAATGAGCGCATCAGCCTGATTTTGGTGCTGGGGGCTATACTTTTGTCATTCCATATTTTCTTGAGCCTCTTTAGTGCTGTTGTAGTCTGCGGAATCCTGGACATCAGTTCGGGCTTGGAGCCTTCTTCTTTGACTATTGCTCCTAGGTATTTGAAGCAGCCTACAGTCTCTCCTCCACGACCTTAATTTCAGTGGTGATGCCTGTGGTGTTATTTGTCATCAGTTTTGTCTTTTCAGCACTGATTAGCATGCCTTAGGACGAAGAGGTCTTATCGAGACGCTTTACCAGGTTGGCTTGATCTTCTTTGTTCTATGTCGTCCGCAAAGCGTAGGTTGGTGATTGTTCTGCCACCAATGCTGACTGTCCCTTCTTGCGCTTCCAGAGCATCTGACATAATTCTCTCTAAGAAGATGTTGAATAGGGTGAGGGAGAGCAGGCAGCCTTGCAGCCTTGTCGTACTCCAACCATTAATAATAAGCTAACATGGCATGAGCATGGTTAAATGCTGTATAAGAAATTTAACCAAAGACTGTTCTACCTAAAAAAACTGTACAATTTCGGCGTAAACAAGCAAGTCGTTAACTTATTCTACAGTGTAACAATTGGAAGCCTTCTTAATTTCAGTATTACCTGCTGGTGTTGGAACTCAACGTCTGATATTAAACACCGCATAAACCGACTAATCAAGAAAGCTAGGAACATAACACAAACTAAACATCCTTCACTTGAAGAACTATTTGAAGAAAGATGTTTTTGTAAAACTAAACACATTTTGGATGATACATCCCACCCTCTTCATCTTAGATACTTAGGATCGGGCCGTTCGGGACGAATTCTTTCCATCATGGCAAGGACTGACAGATATAAAAATTCTTTTGTTCCCCAATCAGTATGAATTTACCGGCGTGCTTCCTCTGAAGTCACACATTTGAATGTGAACTAATAAGTCCGCGATTTTGCTAAGAGAACTCACTGAATGGCTGTTTATTTTTATTATAAATGTCTTGTTTTCAAATTGTTTTATTTTTTGTGCTGAAAATGTGTAATGCAATCAAAAAACATTTCCATTTATTTGGATCAATAAAAGAATCTTATCTTATCTTAAGTAATTTATGATTTTTTTATACTTTAAGCTATATTTTTTTTTCAGGCAAAGGACAAGAAAGAATAAACACGTTTATAAAAGAGAAAATTAAGTTTGAACAAAATGTCTCCCAACTTTTTCAGGCTTTGGACAGAATGGTTTTGTACCTGAGACTTGTGCATTCCATAGACTACTACAGTGCTAATGAATATCCAAATGAAGATGAAATGCCCCACAGATGTGGCATCATGCATGCTCGTGGCACCCCACCTGGAGCTGGAAAAATTACCCAAAATGAGGGCGAGTCCTTTTTTTTTTACCCATATTTAACTTTTATAAATGCTAAGATGTCCAACTAAGGCTTACAAAATGTAGCTTATTCTTTTATCTGGTTTTATTATGTTGAAGAAGAGTTATGGAAGTTGTCATTAATAATATGAATTACAAACTTGACCTTTGGTATTTTAAGAATCTTTTGTAGTCACAACTTTATTATTTATATTTTTGTTTTCAGTGTCACTTTATGATGATTATGTTTTTTTTTTGAGTTAACTTTAGAATCAACTTAGTCTCAACACTGTCATTATTAACTAGATAAGATAATTTTGTTTGTTTTTAAAATGTCCCTCACTCAGTAAATGAATGGGTGAGTAGCTTTGAGAAGAAACTAAAGCAGTTCTTGGAAGCATCTCAACAAATTACAGACACAGAGGCCACACAAATAGGCAAGAAAGATCCTGATGCATATCCTTGTTTAACTCGATATAAATCAATAGAGTAGCTTTATGAATTATTTATGATTACATTACTTTTGTGTGCAGGATAAATCCAAATTGCTGTATTTTTTTGTTTCAAATACTGGAACCTTCATTTGACTTAGAATTTGTAATGCTTTCAACAATTTTTTCCCTGTACTTTTCTGTAAAAATTTATATATATATATATATATATATATAAAAGGTCAAACACTGATTCTCCATCCAAATTTTTAAGATGTAGTTTCTATTTTAAGCTTATTAAAAGCTATAAAAATCACACCTATTGTTGTGAGCGAGAATTGTTGTGAATGTTGTGTAGGGGGAGTCGTTAATCGTGGGAGTGTTTTGTGAGTTGTGGTCGTGGGGTCAGAGCGTGAAAGTTAGTCCGTGGTGTGGAACGGTTGCGTAGGCTGAGTTGTTTGTGGGGGTATTATAAAAGGGAAGTGTGTTAGCTAGAGGTCAGTCAGAGTCAGTGAGAGACAGTCAGAGAGCAAGAGAATTGTTAGTTGTCAGAGGATTGTCAGTTAGGAGTTAGAGTGAAGTGTATCCTGTTGTATAAAGTATCTAATAAACATTCTATATATATATTGTTACATGGGACCTTTGCGTTTTATGTGAAAGAGTGATACACCCTAGACAAAGCAAGAGAGAGCCGTAACATTTGAAGAATAACCAAGGTCGTAACATTTCGAGTACTAAAAGAAGGTTTTAACACCTATGTATGTAATTCCATCTGTGTGTGAGTAAACAATACGCATCTTTATATAGAACAAAGGACAAGCCAGCTTCCATTTTTTTAAAGTGGCAGAACTAGTGGCAGATGGAGATAAAGATTTGATTCCTTAATTCTTAAGTACAGAGGTTGAGAAATTTGTGCAGGCCAACACACAGGAACTATCCAAGGATAAGTGGTTATGTCCGTTGTCTGGGAAAAAATTCAAGGGCCCAGACTTTGTAAGGAAGCACATCTTCAACAAACATCAGGAGAAAATAGAGGAGGTCAAACAAGAGGTATGTGGTCACATGTGTAACCTTTTAAATAAGTATACATTGTTTAAAATGAACATTTCCATGATTCAAGTTTAAAAATCTAAGTTTTAGTTACTGTATCTAATTATTTTTACCCTCTATTAAGCATTTTTTGAAAACTTTATACAGACCTACAAGTATTCACATTTTCAAAACTTAATGGGCCACTGATCAAACATTTGTGGGACAAAAAATAATCTCAAACCAACAATAAATATTTTGCATAATCTAAATTCAAAGCTATGTTTATCTTTTCTTCAGATATCTAGATCTCTTTAATAAGTTGTAACATTTGTAAAAAAAAAAATAATTTAATCAGTCTCAGCCTGATAAAAAGCTTAATTTGGGAGCAACAACATGTCACAGCCAGCCCTGCCTACCCCACCTCACATCAGCTTTTGCTGCATTCTGCTTGTTAAGGTGCCTGGCAGCCTAATCATTATGCACACGACAAGTTTTCTGCCAACTCATTTCAAGGTCACTCTGAATGGAGACATCAAAATTTAGCACCGCTTTCCAAGCCCTTGGAGAGGTTTATCGGCAAATATGGATGATGAAACTATTCATCAGACTGATTGTAGAATCTCTTAAAAATAAGCTGAAATGAATTTATATTTATTTCCCTATTGTTGGAGACAAAATTTGACTTTAAATATGTGTACTAGTTCATCAATTTAAATAAACAAAACGTGTATGTTTCCTAATGGACGAGAGGGTTTACATTAAAAGTAGGTTTGGTATTGTTAAAAACGCAACAAGTATATCTATACAAATATTATGGTTATGCTAAATTAAAGACTATCTTTTAAAATTCCTGTTGGGGCTTCGTTTGACATTTTGTTTTACTTGTGCATTGCAATAAATCTTTTATTATTTTCATGAAATTTTAACAGGTAAAGTTCTTCAATAATTACCTTGTAGACCCCAAACGTCCATCTCTCCCTGAACATCCCAGCAACAGACCCAAACCACCACCCCCTGCCCCTTCTCCTCAACCCCAACTAACGATGGCTCAGCAGCGCACTGATCAGTATGCCTTTACATCACCTGTAACCATGGGTGGATTCGGAGGTGCCAGACCACAGGCCTTTGGTGGCAATGGTGCCGGAGCTACTGGTAGGTAACTACAAACAAAGCTATTGAGACTTCCGAGAAACCAGAGTATTTCATTCTTTCTTGAAAGAATAAAAAAAGCTATTGTGGGATTGCCGAAAAGCTGTTGAAGATAACTATAATTAGAAATTGTACAGTTCTGTGTCGCATTTGGAACTATCAAGTTACTTCATTGTTTTTTTGCCCCATGAACTTTCAAAAGCAAAGGAACTGTAAAAAAACAAAGGTGCTGTGGTGTCAACTCTGTTTAGTAACTTTGCTATGTATCACTAACATACCCTAAACTTGTAGAAAATGTATCCAAAGACCCATAGAAGTGTAAATATTCTGAAAGTAAATTAGACATGGAATTGTATGGTATGACTGTTGAAATTCCGTGAGGTGTGTGAAATGAATATAACCTTGACCTTCAACACAGAGAACAATGATGCAATTGTTCATCTTTCTTTAACTCACACCCACACTGATTGTTGGATCCTTTTATCTTCTAAATAAATTTTTCATACACATAAAACATTATTCTTTCAGTTTAGAAATATAAAATTATTTGGGCTTGTAGTATTAAAAAAAAATGTTTTTTTATTAAAATTCTGGTGACTAAGATATTTAAAAAAAATAAATTCATTATTATTGCCTTCTTTTCCACCACTTCTATTACAGTTGTATGTCTAAATTTTCACCAGCTTGAATAATGCCCAAAAAACAATAGTCAAACTCACTTTCATCAACAAATAATTAAAATAACTTGGGTTGGTTTTTTTGTAGGGCCAACAACTGAGTCCTACAAGTTAGTTTAAACACACAAAAAAAAAAATCAGAAAATTCAGCTCCTTTTCAAATAAAAAAAAAAATGAACACATTAAATATTTTCCTTAAATAGATTTATTCCCCTTTTTAAAAAAAAACGTAAACTTCTGATTGGCACTTATAATATTACTTTAAGTAGAGGCCGATTATTTCGGCCCTAACACCACAGACTCATCCATAATGGCAGATCATCGGCTGTTATGACAGCTCGTGGGTTAAAGGTATTTTTGAAGGAAGCAGTTTAATGTTTTGGAAACAGTTTTAAAACTTTTTGAACTTTATACGAACCAAGTTTGATTTTCCTGTCATTCGGTGATAGATAACTTCTATTAGATCAACCTCAACTCAAGTCTGTAATAATTCTTTTTTTTCCTCTTGATTCTTGCAGCTTACCAAAGTCCTTTCCCAGTGAGAGACTCTCGGCCTAGCCCTGACACATTCAGGAGAACAAACTTTGCTGGGGCAACTAGACCGTATCATCGTTCTGATCCCCGGCAGCTGGTTCATTACACAGACTTAGATGCTCCTGATGATGGAGATATATTTTAATGATCAATGCACACCAAATCAAGCAGGACATTTCCCATCTCCTTCATATCTCATGAGCAATTTTTATTTTTTAATTAGATATGCCTTGAAATGTTTAGTTATATGTTTGCTGATAAGTGTGAGCGTCTTATAGATTAAAAAATTTTAGTGTAGGAAGCCAGCAGAAATCTTCAGTCTGTTTAAGAAGGGAAATACTTCACTGCTGAATTGCTTTTATCTGTAATTACAATGTAATGTTTAACGCTAGTTTTCTAGTATCGTTAACAATTTTTTCTGAATTATTATTTACATTATTATTGTATTTCTATCTTTACTTGTAAGTCCATCTGATGACAACCCCATTCAGATGACAACCCCATTCAGTAAAGCTTCAAATACAAACACTAGATCTCTTTTTTTTTTAAATGTTGTGTCTGTTGTCTTACCGATGCACTTGCCACTGGTTTTAACATAATTAAATGATAGCATAGCGCATAGTTTGAAAAATAACCTCTATCCACATGGAATGAAACCACACCACCACCACCACCACCACCACCCCCAGTGAAAACTGAGATAATAATACAAGACAGGGGAACTAAATAACTTTGTCATATAGATGATATTGATTTCACTTTGCTAATTTATATAGAGGAATCTGTTGGTATTACTACAGCAAGCAAATTAACTGATCAATTATCTATCATTACGTGTAAATTGCTATCTAATTCATCTTCTGGGGCCATTTTTTACAATGTTAAAAAAAAAACTTTAAATCTGATGAAAATTGGACTTGAAATGTTAAATAAGCTGTTTTAATTTCCATGTTGAGATTTATCCATGATGTAAACATGTTAGAATTCATTAATTTTTATTGTTGTATTTTCATATACCAACCGATTGGCGTTCTGTGGATATAAAGGTTAAAATTAGTCATCGGTGTGCTGATAAAGTGTTAGCTACAGACGCAAATTTTATTTTTATGATAATTTGTATTGGGATTCAACATTTTCTTGCCACCCTCTGAAATGCCGTCTCACACCTCCTGAGAACTCTTGATCACCTTTAATTCACACCCTTGCAAACATGTGGCTTAAAGTTAAAATATAATGTCCATTAAACTTAGCGTCTCCAAGAGCCTTGCCAAACCTTTCATTCTCGTGTCATAATTCCTTTATGATAATTATGCATGAAATAATGTTATTTATAAATTTACAAGTTGACTCATGTGGCCCCCTTCAAGCTTATTGATTGATCTTTACTGTTCATTGATTGATTATAAAAAAGAATTTCAAGTCACTGTTGTTTTTTAACTGAAAATGTTGAGGTGGAGTACTTGTGTATTATATTATAGGCTATAATGTCTGCATTATTGATGTGACCAAAATGTCAGTAAGAAAAAATAATTAAATATAACATTAACATTGATAATTTGATTGCTGAATGTTTTATTCTGCTAAAGAATTTATCAGAACAGTTTAATGCTGATTTAATCTATTCCACTATTGCATTTAATTAATTAACCATCAATTATTCTGTACTTGATTAAAGTGCTTGTAGAGATGATGAGCGCGATATTAAAGTGGTTGTAGAAATGAGCGCATGACACGCTGCTTGGGTCCAGTTCTAGTGATGGGTTTCCTAAATGTGCCCCCTCCCCCCTTTCTGAAAATTGTTCAGACCTTTCTGAAGCATTGCAACATATCCATAAAATTTAACATGACACACATTTTAAAATTAGTCATTGAAATCAAATTAGGATTGAATGGTATGTTACTGGAAATTGATGATAGTAATCACATTAGATTTTATTTTTGAAAAACTTAGGAAAAATTTCCTTTTAATGGAAAATTAGTGGTCTTTTATGTCAAAATTTTAATGTCCTGTTTATTTGAAAGGTATGAGTTACATCCCATGTCCAGATTTTTCTAAAGGAGTTGATTTTGTTAAAATGTCTTTTACCCAATCTGTGAAGTTTTAATTGAACCAAGTATTTGTTTTTCTGAGGTCTTGACACTTCTAGGCCAATGTCTGTCACTTTTCTTGTATTGAAATTCATAATTCTATGTTTGTTTTTTTAAAAATAAAATTAAATAACTTGAAACAATTATATCTGCTTTTTCATTTTTTGGGTTACTTTTTCACTTAGCCACACCAGAAAACTAAATAAAACAAATTATTTTGAAAGGTTTAAAATTGGTGCATTTTCTCTCAACTCTTTGATGCTACAAGTAGTAATTAGTAGTACAATTACAATAGACATATTGCAAATGTCACAGGAGTTGCTGAACTGATGACTTTCTTTTTAACAAAATCTGTGCTGAAGTCATATAAAAACTTTGTACAAGTTAAAATGAAAATGACCAGAAGATGTATTGAAATTTTTAATGACTCTGCAATGGATGAGAATGATTTTAAACATAATGTATGGCAAGCAAATTATTTGCAATACTAATAGCATGAACATTTAGATGCATATTTCTTACTATACCGTACGTACGTGTTGACACAAATGATATATAAAATGTATGGAACTTAATGGAACAAGTGTGATACACACTAATATGAGACATAGTTTGACGATGCCATTAGCATGATTTCTTTGAACATTTTAGACCAATGATCCATTCTCCCCAAAGCCTTCCCCCAACCCCTACCTGGCACACAGAAGATGAACTGAACATTTTTAGGACTAAGTAATGGCATTTCAACTAAAATATTTCCAAGGCTGAGAAAATGAGCATAAATATAATTTAGAAAATAAAATATACATCATGAGTGCTGATCATTGAGTGAAAAATACATTGCCATAAAGAATGGCCACAAACTACAAACAAATGACAACTAGGCAAATCTTAAGATCTGCACGTTGGTTTAACCAATAATGAAATCACTTGCCATATCAAAATTAAATTTGCATTGGTTAAAGAAATAGTTTCAGAAATAAACAAGTAATAATTCTAATCAAACTAGTTGTAAATCTTGACAAGCTGTTCAAAAGAATTGAACTGTAGGATACATTTTTAGAGTTACATCCAGAAAGTACATACTGAACTATAGGAGATATTTTTTAGAGTTACATCCAGAAAGTACATATTGAACAGTAGGATACATTTTTAGAGTTACATCCAGAAAGTACATTTTTATTGGCTAACAAATTTGAGATTTAATTAACATTCAAATAGATCAATTTTTGTAATGTGTAGTGTAATGCCTTGGCTTATTGTTAATATTCCAACTCCCAGTGACTTTATTTACTAACATTGGTGATAAGCCCTGATTTTCCCTTGTCTGAGCTGGATACTTTTTTTATTGACAGAAACTCTAACTCTAATTTAAACTACAATTTACTATTTCCCTTTAATACTGTTAAATTTATAAATAAAAATAATTATTACAAATTTAGTTTCAGACTTTGTGGGACACACTGTAGATTTTATTTGATTTGAATATAGTTTAGTTTTATCATATTGACTGACATGTATAGTTAGAAATGTATCAATATGGTACAAACCATCTTTGAGATAGATGGTTTCATTATGAAAGCCAGTTTTTTCAAAAATGATCCTGATATTTACAGGCTAACTTAGTGAATTAGGTCCCAAATGTATCTTAACCATAACATAAAAAATTAATCACAGTTTTTTTATTTATCATGCCGGGAACTCACATAAAAAACCTTGTAGATCAGGCCTGCACAACTCAAAATGTAAGGTGGGCCGTAATACTTTATGAAAAACTTGTGCAGAACAAAAGATAAAAGGACGGGGGAAGCTAATAAGAAAATAATAATTTAATAATAAAGAATAGTTCTTACTTCGCAGGCAGCCAAGCGGTTGCTGGCAGGCCACATGCAGCCCATAGGCCGTATGCTGTGCAGAACCGTTTTAAATTTTTAAATAAAATTTTATACTTTGATAGAAAATTTAAACATTAAAACCAATAAACTAAAAAATATTTCAACTTTTCAACACCGAATCTGAACACGGCAGATTTTGTAATTATTGTCTGGAACTTTGTTTCTAAAGCTATTTTACCTATAAAAATTAAATAATGATCTTTATGTTTTTGGTTTAAAATAAATTGTGATGAGGTTTATAACGTAAATTGTTAGTTAAAATATTTTGTCGTAAAAATTTAATTTTTTGAGTTTAAGAAAATTTCAACACATTATTTCTTAAGCTCATTACTTTTATGTTATAAATTCTACAAATTATATGAATTTTATAACTACAGTTAGCATTTATGAGCGTTATAAATTATCTTTGTGAAGATTGACAACATTTAATTTAATATCATTCCAGGTACAAGTTTTTAAAAAAACATATTTTTGTGAATATTTTCTTCAAGATAAGATAACATTAATTTATTAGCTGTATGAAAATTAGATTAAGATTGTTTCAAAATATGTGTAAAGAAATATAGCAAAAACTAACTGGTACAAATGAGGCATTTAAATTTTTTAATAAAAATAAAATCTGGTTCTAATTTATATATAGTTTTAAAAAACTATTTTAGTGTGCTTCCCAAAGTCTTAGTAACCATATAAAATAAAATTTTGTATAAAGAATCAGCAGTAATATGATTTGAAACAGAATTTTAAAATAAAATGTACAAATATAAAGCAATACTGGCTTCTATGTTTCACTTAAATAATTATTTTTAATTAATCATAAATATTTATCAATCCATTAAAAAAATATATAAAACATTTTCCTTGTTTTGTTATTATCAGCATTATATAAATATAATATAAATATATAAATATACATTAATATAATATATGTACATCAAGCAACAAAATTTGTTCCATCAACAAGATAATTTAAAGACAATATTATTTTCTTATGCATAGAATTTACGAGTTATAAATATAACTCTAATCACACAGCCCTTTTTAAATCATTTTCTGTCTCAAATGAGAGTCCATTTTAAGTTTTGACAGTAGCAGGCATTCATTTCCAATTCATTTGATCTAAATCAGCACCATTTTAAAATGTTGGCTATTAATGCACTAATCGTCCATGCAGTGGTCCTTTCAGGGATTAACACTCAAATTCATCAGATCCATCTGGGCAATCCCTCACCTCATTACAGAACAATTCAGCTTTGAGACACATTGCATTTCTACATGGCTTCTCTGTGGCCAGGCACTCTTTTAAAAAACAAAATAACAATGAAAGTGAGCTGAGATATCTGATATTCGACTATATTAATTATAATGTGTTTGTTTTAAGGGTTTAATTTGTAAAGTAAATCTAAAGGTTTTGTAAGAAAACAAAAATTTCAATTACTATTATACAACTGAACTATAATATTTTAATGCTTTAAAAATTTGTTAGCTAAGATAAAATTTTATTCATTCCATAAGTAATTATAATATATTTCATAAACAACAATTTGAATTAAGAATTAGATGTTCTTTTAGGAGACTATGACATAGATTTAATTAAAATCTCAGAATTTAGATCTTCATTTAAATTTAAATAGTTGAGTTGATAATTTTCAGTTTAAATAATCTTAGTCTTACCTCGTGAGACATTACTCTCCATTGCTACATCACTACTGAAGCTTCTTAGTCTACTTTCTAGAAGAAGGGAAAAATAAATTATTACAGCAACTTATTTATGTCCTTAGGCAAAACTATCTGGCAGGATTCATGTTGTGAACACAATTATTTTAAAATATTTAAATTAAATTACTTTAAAAAAAAAAATTGGCATGTTGATTTTTAAAAATATAAAATTAAAATAATATCAAGCATTTTAACAAAAACAACAACGAACCTCTAAAAGTTAAAACATGTTTTAACTAATTTGGTGTCAAAATTGTAACAGAGCACAAAGGAATTGTGCATATTATCAACTGCATTAATTAAAGAAACAGCCACTTATGTTAAACAAGACCTAATTGAAATAATACCTGTTAAATAATTATCACAACTTGTATGCAAGAGGATGATATCATCCAAGCCAATGTCAGCTTTTATTCTTGTACCCTGCTGGGCCACAAATGAGATACTGATGTTTCCTTCTGGAAGTGTGATGCATTCAAATTTCCATTCCTTTTCATTGTTTGGTTCACCTGACCACAGCTCTCTCTGTATGAAAAAATTCATAAACAAAACATATTATGAGGTAACATATTGCAGTCATAATCAGTGTTTTCTTATTCCGCAACCTGTACCTTATCACATTCTTTTGAAATTGGGATGTAGAATCATGAAATTATGAAATAACCGAGCATTTAAACAAGGTGCAATAGAGGAAAATTTATTTTTTATTATTATCTACTTTTGTTATTGTGAATGACGAATTTTGAAAAGTCAGACCTTGTTATTTGGATAAAATTATTTTAGCTCCATTTACATACCTGGTCTCCTGTAGTTGTATTTATAACATTGAGGGATAGCCGACCGGAGAAGTCATCCACTCTATACTCATAGAAAGCATGGTAGTAAAAGACTAATCCTTTACCATACGAAGTGAAGGGAATAGAACTTAAAGATGTGGATGTGCCGTGCAGCTGGTTTCTTGCAAGAAGATAAAATCCTAAGGGGGAAGAAAAATTTTACGTGTTCAAATGTATAAAATTTTTGGTGTTTTAAATAATAATATTAATAGCTGATGACTAGGAACGATACAGCCCCGAATAACTTGATTTTTTTAAAGCAAAGAATGTAATGAATTAAGGCCTCTGGTGGTTTTTTATAGCGTGGTACCGCAGGCTAGGGCTGGGCTCACCACGCTGTACATAAAATTTAACAAACGTAATCATGAACTTAAAAATTTTACATACATTAATTAACTAAAACAAAACAAATGTATATTAACTCTACACATTCAAGAACTATTTACATGTCTAGCCATGGACAGCTACCCAGCAGCATCTTTTATCAATCAGAGGGGGGAATCAGTCAGGATAGTAAGAGTTTAAAGAGATGTGTTTTAAGTGCAGTTTTGAAGGCTGTGATGGCCGGTATATTGCGGCTGTGTAATGGAAGAGAATTCCATTGTTTGGAGGCACAGAAAGAGACAGATCGTTCACCGTATGTTTTTGTGCGAGTCTTGGGGACAGAAAGAACACGTGCGTCTGCGAAGGAACGAAGCT